TGGAGGCGCTGGGGGGGGAGAGGGGCGGCGGGCGCCCCCCCGGCCACGCCCATCCCCTCCCCGCCCCGCCCCCACGCTGGCCCACGCGGGGAAGCCCACGGACACAGGCTCAGACGCGTTAATTCCTGTTTGATAACATTCTGCGTTGCCCCCCTGTTTGTTTTTATTGTGCCAGAAAGCGAGAGAATTTCAGAATTAAAGCTGAAAAAGCCCATCTGTTTCCAATGAATCCCCCATAGTTTTTCACAATGTTTTTGGCAGATCGCTGCTTTCAAATTCCTCCGAGCCCGGACCTCTTGTTTTTGTTGGGGGAAGGGAGACCAACTCCACAGAGAAGCGTTTGTTCCTTCCCAAACGCTCCGGTTTCTTTACTTTTTTACCCTTTGGGGGCGGGGAGGGGGAATGAACGAAACTTAAATCCCCGGTCTGTTTTCTTTATAATGTTTCGTAAAACTTTATTTCACTTTTATTTCATACTGCTCAGAGTCTGAAAAGGCCAGTTAAACGCTCTCCACCCGTTTTTCTCTTTTTAAAATACAAATAAACAGTGTCACGACCAAATGGTCCTCCTTGTAAGGCGGGATCTCCCGGCAGTTTCCATTGTGCTGTGGGGTTCAGAGGTGTCTTTGAGCAAAGAATTCCAGCTTGTCTCGCAGCGCGGCCAGATGTGGTTCTGCCGCCTCTGCGCAGCTGAGATTTGCAAGAAAGGACTTGAGTTGGGACTGCGACTGGGTTGTTTTGATTTACTCTTCAGCCAACTGGGTTTCAAGGAACTGACAGAACAGGGCAGTCAGTCCAGGCTAGGCCTGGCTGCAAGTTGGCATTCCCGGGGAGCACACAAACATAAGTTTACTCTCTTGTCTCCGCCGAGCTGCAGGCCCCCACCCAGCACCTACTTAGCCAAAGCGTCCCAGCTCCCTCAGCAGCTGCCAGACCCTGAAGCATCCTAGACTTCAAAACCTTTTTTCTGCAATCCTGCCCAGGACCAGAACTGGGGAGGGGTGTCAATATGTCCCAACAGTCCTCATACCGCATACACCCAGGAAATATCAAACTCCCTCCCACCGTGGTTCCAGTAGGGGAGATAAACTCCCCCCACAGTCGAGTTTTTGAAACCCAAGTTTCTTCATCTAAATCAGTGGTTCTCAACCTTCCTAATGCTGCACCCCTCATGTTGTGACCATTAAATTATTTTCGTTGCTATTTCATAACTAATTTTGCTACTGTTATGAATCACAATATAAATTTCTTTTCCGATGGTCTTAGGGCGACCCCTGTGAAAGGGCCATGGGGGGGTTCTTGACCCACAAGTTGAGAGCCACTAATCTAAATGTTGTGTTTGAAAGGCTGATTTTATTCCTTCTCAAGAATTAAAATTTTAAAAATTTCATTAAAAATTTAAGTAAAAACCATCAGATAGAAAAGCGGCAGTGTGCAGTCGCATTCATCCTGGTTTGGTGAGGATAAAGATCCAGCCCATTGGAAGTTTTATCAGATGGGTTGATAAATGGCTTTTGTCCCTTGGCTGCAGTGGGGGATGTGATCTCAGCTCTGAGCTGAAATTGAGAAGGGGGGCTCCCAGGGCTCTTAAAACAACACCTTCCTGCTCTTAAAGCTGCAGCACTTGTTAACTTCTGGGGCTGGAAGGTGAGGAAAGGAAGGGCCTACAAAAGTTCTCTGAAATAGGAAAGGAGTTGCAAGGGCTTGGGGGGGCGTTCTGTTTCCCCATTTATTTCTTGGTCTTAAAAACTTCTTTTTTTGTTGGTTTTTTGTTTTGTTTTCAAGTATCTGCAGCATAGTCTGAGACACACTGGTGGGTTACATAATTCACAACTCAAATTCCGCCACTTTCGTGTCCAAGAAGCCCATTTCTTTTTGGCTTCAGGGCTGGTAACTAAACCCTGGCAGATGGTGCTGATAGCTGGGTTGTGTCATGCCAACTGGCTAAGGTTTCCCCTCACTGGAGCCCTTTGACAGTTGCATCGAGTCAAAACTGCCCACCTCTGTGAAAACTGAGCTGCTGGTCACCAACGACCAAATAATCTGAGGGCTTTAGGGACAGGAATGCTCAGGAAAACCGGAGCAAAAGGACAGTTTCCTTCGTCTTTAGGAAGAGATGGGTGCATGATTTCCATGACAGAGATGCACTGTCTCTGACATAGTGGTCCAGCAAACAGGATGCCCCAGAGCAAAGGTCAGAAAGCCTGTAGTTCTAGTGGACAGTGGGTGGACATTAGGGACAAAAAGCAAGCTGTGGCCTCACCCACCAAAGACAGGTGGAAACTGGCCTAGCAGCCCTGTGAAAGCTTAGGTTTGTTCGGAGCTCGCCCGCTTGAATGGTTGCCAGCAGTGAGCAGGAGTGCAAATTAAATTGGACATAGTTATGTGGAGAAAGATGCCTTCACTCTGCCAGACTGAGAGTGTTTGTGTGTTTTGAGTGTTTACGTGTCCTCAGTCAACGTGTATGGCCGACTTCCCAAGTCCCTGCCTCAGTGATAGCTTTCAGGGCCTTCAGCCTGCTCAAGAGAGAAATGCTGGAGGGTTGGGTGTCTGTCTGAATACTGTTCTGGGACAGAGGTTGGGACAGAGTGGCTGTACTTTCATGAGGGCTCAAAGGGGGTTGTGGGGGGAGGCCGGAAAAAACTTCTTAGAAGACTTTTCCACAAATAGCATCCTCTTCAGAACACAGTAAATAGATGCATTTTAAGCTGTGAGGCCATTGTGACTTAAACAGACTTCTAAGAGAAATCCATCCAAGGCATGGCATGTGCATGTTGGCATGTTTCCTGTAGCTATTTGTGCATGCTATGCTCTAGCGTGGTTCTCTTGAGTATGAGCCATGGACCAGCAGCAGCATCCTCCCCCAGGAGCCTCCCCCCTACAGTTCTAGTGAAGCAGATGCCTCGGGGCAGGCCCTGCAGTCAGTATTCTAACAGGTCCTCCAAGGGATTCTGATGATTGCTCCATTTGAAGGGCTAGCTTCTAAAGAGGGGACAACCTCTCTCTTGTTTCTTTCCCTAATAGTTTTATTTCGTTTTTAAATTTTTATTTATTTTTATTTATATGTATGTTTGCATGTGCACTACATGTATGTAGTGCCTACAGAGGCCAGAAGAAAATATAGTTAGTCCCTGAAAATGGAGTTTCTTGTTTTTGTGAACTGTCCTATGTAGGTGCTGGGAACTGAACCCTGGTCCTCTGCAAGAGCAGCAAGTGCTCTTAACTGCTCAGCCAGCTCTTCAACCCCTGTCTTATGCTTTTGAACTGTAGCTGTTGCAGGAGTCTTCAGGTGAGGCTTAGAGAAACTAAAGTTCTCTAAAGTATCTAAATATATAAATGCTTTATAGTGCGGATATATATATATATAGATAGAGAGAGAGAGAGAGAGAGAGAGAGAGAGAGCGCATATAGCATGGCCTATAGACATTTTTTTTTTTTAAGATTTATTTAGTATACAGTGTTATGCCTGCAGGCCAGAAGAGGGCACCAGATATCACTGTAGATGGTTGTGAGCCACCATGCTGGGAATTGAACTCAGGCCACCATGCTGGGAATTGTACAGCCAGTGCTCTTAACCTCTGAGCTGTCTCTCCAACCTCAAGATGAGAATATTTTTAAGTGAATTGCTATGTAAGAATGTGTAACTAAGTAAGCCTGATTCCCATATACAGCTGTGTTGTGGCTCTTAGTTAAGCTTTGTGTCCCGAAAGGAGAGCGTATTAGCCCATTTCAGTTGCTATAACAGCATACCATAGATTTTGAGGGTTACAAACAATAGATGTTTGTTGATTATTGTTATGGAGGCAAGAAAATCAGAGCTCAAGTAACCAGCCACTGTGGTATCTGGTGAGAGGTTCTTTCTAGTCCATGTGTCCTATACCTTATTACCAGATCAGATCCTCACAAGGGAGACGGGATGGAAAGCTGACTCTCTCGAGTCCTTTTCATAAGGGCACTTTCATGAGGGCTCTACTCCCGTGACACGATCACTTCCTAAGGTCTGGATTCTATGTATAATATCATCACTTTGAGGATTAGGTAGGAAAGGTAACCCAAGGGCATAAATAAGGTTTGATATGGGGAAGAAGAGACTCTAGGGACATGTTTATATGTTGGAGGGACTGCAGTTACCTCTAAAGATCCTGCTTTTGGTGGACTCTGCAAGGCCTATGCTCTGTACTCCACCTTCTGGTTTGAATCGAGTACCTGCTGAGTGCCACACTCTTGCTACTGTACTAAGATGCACCCTGAAGGCCCTCGAGTGTCCCAGTCATACCAGTGTGCCCAAGACTTACTTAGTTTTAAAACTGAAAGTCAGGGCTCCTCAAATGTCTCCTGGGTCCCAGGCACACCAGGATGTGGCCTTCAAAGTTGTATGCCCGCCTCACCTGTGTCGGGTACCCCCACTGCCCAGAAGCATGAAGTCTTTCCTGCACAATGGTCTCCATGTAGGCCAGTGGCCTAGAGCTAGGAGTCATTCCTCTGCCTTTTCTGTCATCATATTGCTGCAGCCATAGCATGAACAGC